CTGAATTATACCACTGGCTTTCCTGTTCTCCGGTTTGCCAATGGCGGATCACAGGTCTCCTTAATCGCGTGAGCCAATTCCTACGATAAATGTCCTCTTACATACCTCCATGTGCACTCTATTGGTTCTCTTTTTCTGCAGAACCTGAACACAGTAGGCGAATGGTGACCTAACCAGTGGAGGAGGTAGGAACACCCAATAAAAATACAGAGAGGCCAGTTCCATCCTTAAGAGCACATATTTGAGCCACTTCCCATAACCAGCAGAATGTGTTCTTTCTCTAATGATGGGGTCGCACCGAGCTCTCACTCTGCTGAGGTCACCCTGAGTCCTTGCTGACATATCCCTCCATGTCCCCATGACACAGCTCTCAAACCGCTGATGGGAATTCAGGATCAGGTCACAACAACCAACCAACGAACTGACGCAGGCACAACGAAAACAGCACTGGCTGGGGACAAAACTCTCTTCTCCAGAGAGCGAAGCAAGAGTTCCATTCCTGATTCGGTTTTTGCCCGGAATGGAATCTACAGCATACTTCCATTACAGCAAAAACACTGCATTTACTGAAATAGCTAACAAACTTTAGGTAGGCTGGGTCTCCCCCAAAGCAGACTCTGGGCAGGGATTTGTGAGGTTAGTATATTTAGGCAGTGACCCCAGGGATCACTGGCGGAAGAGCAGGGAAGTGAGGCAGGGAATCATTAATGAGCAGGGCAATGACCCTTCTGGGCAGCTGAACTCATTACCCTGGGTACTCTTGGAAGACCACCTCAAAAGTTGCCTCCCACAAACTGGGAGAAAGCTGGGCTGTTAATTCACCAACTTCCACGTGTAAGTGGATGAGGGTTACTCCCAGGGGTGTTAACTCTCAGGCCCTTCAGGCCCATTTCACATGAGTCAGGCATGTTCCCAAGGCCAAGGGAAGTTCCCAGACCTTCACAGGTGCTTGAAGTAAGAAGGTTCCATCGTGTACTGAAACAGTGAATTCACAGGGAAGGTGGGCGGAGCTCTGGCATCACCTGCTAGCCAGCAGAGAAGAGAAAAGCCTAGACATAAGGGCAATCTGCTATAATATATAACATCGTCTTCTCGGTGTTACAGATTTTAACTGCCCCAGAGAAAGGTGGAAGTAAATGTGGTTATGGAGTTGACTATGCATGGTTTGTGGTGAGACCCAGCTGCCAAAAGATGGTGCCTGTACCACTTGACACTGGGATTTTGGCCACCAAGCAATAATTGCCAAAAGTGACTATGACTTACTCATGATCTTCGAAGTTTTAATGTGTTTGGACTCAGGCACTGGAGATTTTCCATCAGAATTTTTTTGCAAACTTTAATCAAGTTGTTTTTAAAGGACTTGTTAAGTGATTAGCTTATGGTGTTTTTCAAGCCAACACAAATGCCGTTGGCAACTCACTCTTGGCAGTGTCTGTCCCTCCAAAGTCTGGGATACCATCCTCAGAGCGTGCCAAAAACCTTCTGAGTCAAATCAATGTCCAGTCCTCAACTGTAAGTGGTTAAAGAGTGGTCAAATATATATTTTATATGTATTTGTGACTTTTGATGAATGTTGAGGCTTACATTCCTATCCCCTCTACCATTAGATCATTTAGGAAAAAACTTTCTACTCATAGTAAAATTAAATTTGTAAATTTCCTTAGACGTGTTATTTGGAACCACACAAAGTATTAGCCTATAAGATGATCTCAGTCCACTTAGACAACAAACACATAAAGGTAAGATTCGGAGCCAGTAAATGGCAGATCAGCTGTTTCTCGCTTTAGCAAACGGAAGGTCAGAGGTTGTGACAGAAGTAGAGGAGACACAATCTCCTTTTTCTTCCTGAGAGTTGGCACCTAGGTGGATGCTCTGAGTGAAACTCCTCCAGGTTTACCTGAGAAGCATACTTCAGCCAGACTTGACATTTTAAATCATTCGCGTATCCAGTGTGTATTAACTGCCTACTAAGTACCAGGCACTGAGGGAAGTGTCAGGGATGTGAGAGACAAGAGATCTTTTCTTCTGCTCCTGGTTCATGTTAACCAAACAGTTCTCATTTTTATTCAAGCAATCTCTTCCAAATTCCCTGCCATGGCCTTGGGGTCACCCCAAGAAAAGACAGGTTTAAAGGGTGAAGAATGAGGGGAGGCAGTGAGACCAAGTCTCTCTAAGGATGATTTTTTTCTTTTACAAAATCAAGCCTTTAATGAGTCATTGTTTTATAAAGGCTCCTTTTAAAAAAAAATTTTAACTCTCTATTCCCTTGAAGAATTTAAGGTTATTTTGGAAGCCTTTCTATTAAAATTCCGAAAATTCAAATAGAATAACTTTCTGCTGAAAGTAGGAAAACACACCTTTGTTATCACAAAACCATTATCCAAAGAGACCAAAACACTGAGTGCACTTTTGACTTCTCCAGGAAAAGTTGCCCCAAAATGTAAAGCATAAGATGTGAAGAGACATGTCACGAAATACACAGCCACGACGCCCAAGCATCTGTTCTAGAACCTCAGCGTACCCGCATGGTAGGTCTTTCCTTAAACAATCTCTGCAAGTTGGAACACTCCCAGGGAAACAGGGAGATTACAAATGTTTGGCAAGTCATGCATTATTGTTGATCATGTGCGACACTCCATGGAAACAAGGTATCTCAGTGAGGTCAAAACACAGAATAAAACTGGGCTCAACATTAACTGAATTTTGGGAACACTTCTATTGGCCTTGAGGCTTAAAATTTACCCCTGCCATCACCATTGCCCTATGTATTGAGCCTTTATCATTTTATAAGGATTTTTTTTCTCGCCATCCCTGTGAAGTAGGTGGGTATCGCTGCTCCATGTGGCAGGTGAGAAAAGACTCACTGGGGTTAAGTGACTGTCCAAACTAGTCTCTAACTTGAACCTAGACCTGTTTCAGAGCAAAACTAAACCACTTCCTACTTTAAACGACAACAACAAAAAGGTCAGGAAGAAAGGGAAAAGATTCTGGTCAACATGTGATCACCCTACAATGGTTTTATATTCATGACACATAAAAGTAGAAGTATAGAAAATCTAATCTTCATACTTATTTCTTGGGATGGTAGGAGTTGGCGGTCTTTGGTTGCAAAGACATCCTCACCAGTCTAGACCATTTTTATCTGTCTGCAGAGGCAGCAGTTGCACACTTTTGGGACATTGCAGAGGTAGGTGATATTTACTGATGGGAGATTTTTTCCAGTCATTTTAAAGATCACTATATTAGCAGGACTTTGTAGCATACTGTGCATATAGATGAATAAATAATGCAACAACTTTTTATTTGCCATTCGTGTAATCTGACCTTCATTTGGTGGCTTAATTAGCTGTTCTTGACAATGTCTGCAAATAAACACATAAATCTTTCTTTTGCAAACATTTCAACTATTCAAAGTGTTCTGAAATTCGGACTATCTGAATGGAATGGGAGAAGTAGAAGTCGTAAGTATAGTATGTGTAACAATGTCTTTCTTAGAGAATTGTTTTACAAGACTCTTAGTCAAATGAAAAGGTTTTCGTCAGCCCTGGCCAGTATGGCTCAGGCGGTTGGACCGTCATCCGAGAAAGTTTGCAGGTCTGTGCTGGTTGTTTCTCCCCCCCCCCCCCAAACCCTTCCCTTCTCTCTGAAACCAACAAGCATGTCCTTGGGTAAAGATTTTTTTTGAAAAGTTTTTATTACTTAAACTAAGAAAATGACTCCCCAATGAGTTTTAACATAAAGTCTTTTATGTACATCGTAAAATTGGACTTCACATGTGCTTTGCTTTTGAGTGGAAGACAAGCTTTTTTCTCAGGTCCGCCTCTGCACTTACAATAGCTTGGAATAAAGTGAGGGAGGAGAAAGGAATTCAATGACTTCTTTCATAGGAAAAAAGAACTTTTAAGACCATGTGTTTTAAAACACTTCCTTTAGGCTCCACAGGACTCTTATGTAGGTGATCCTATCTGTGCAGATGCTGCAAAATAAGCTGGATGGTATAACTTCACACAGTAGACTTAAAAACTTTATATTAAAAATACATCAGACAGTTCTGTCTTGAAAACAGCAATGTGACTGCTATTTCTGTTACTATAGAAATTCTTGACAAAAGACCTCTAATATCCTTTCTACCTCAAGTCTTAGGATTTCACCAACACCTCAGATATTTCTAGTCAATATCACCACCTGTCTCCCCTACCTAAACTCCCCTCCCCCCCCAGGCAGCCGTCATTTTTGAATACCACCTGGGCGTAGACTTCTAAAAGAGACATGAGAACTCTTTATCACAGAACACAGAAGAAACCACTTCCTAGTTTCAGTGTTTCTCCCTCTTGCAGCCCACCTCCACCCCTCATCAAAATTATCTGCACAGGTGATACTGAGCCAGGTAGCTGGGGTTCCTCGCATTGCAGAACGTTCCTGGGCATTCATAAAAGGGCACGTTTTTTTCTGTCTTCTCCCCTTCTCCCAAATAACAATAAAATCCCAACCATGTTTAATACATTTGGGTGAGGTGCAGGAGCAAATGTACAGGCTGGGTCTGCACAGGCTTGGGAGTGACCCTTCCTGACCCAGGCTGGTGAACTTCATTCATCTGTCCCCTGTCCCCTGCGTAGTCCTGAGTTCCTGACACACCTCAGTCCCTGTGCTGGGCATGGGGACACACTATTGGGTAAGGCACCTCTCAGTTTTTAAGGCACTCCGCGGTGTGCGGCGGGGGGAGGTGGAGCAGGGAGCAGAGAATGACAACGGTGTGCACTGTAGATTCTCCCACAGAGGGATGCAGAAAAGTAAAAGAAGGACGAATGGGGTGAGAGCCACTAACTCAGCCTGGGGAGGTGAGAAATAGGAGCGATTTTGAGCTTCTGAAATTCACTTGTCTCCTTCATCGCAGTCCCCACGCAGCCCCCTCTCTCTGGCCAGTCCCTCTCATGCAAATACCACTTGGAAACCTAGTTCTGGCTCTTGCGGTGCCAGGGGACTTCAGCTCCAGGACTTACCTAGGGAAAACTTCCACGCGGACCCCAGCCCTGCACTTCCCGAGCCCTGGACCGGTTTCCTCCAGAGGCTCACTGAGCGGACTGAGCGGACTGAGCGCACCGCCTGGAGCGCAGCGCAAAACGCCTCAGACTGCAGGGAGACCGCACGGAACCTGTGGAACCGTGGAAGGGACAGACGGAAGGCAGCGCTGGCAGCCTTCCTCCTCTCCGCGTCCTAACGGCTGGCGGCAGCTCCCACGCCCCTCCTTGACGCTATATAAAGGCTTCTCCCCGCCCCAGCCGACCCTTCCCCGCCCTGGTGGCCCCCGACCAGGAAGGGGGCGCCGCGGAAGGGAGGTGATGAAAGTGGGAGCTGGGGGTATTACGAGGGCTGAAACTGCCCCACCGGCTTCTCCCCGACGTGGAACGTCTACCCTCAGCTCAACCATGGGAGGCTGTTGACCACAGAGAAATGTGGGTGTCCTCAGGGCGCACCTCCTTGGCACCCAGCAGACTCACAGGGCACGTGCGCGCCGTAACGGGAGGGTTCGAACCGTTGTTGCTGGGCGGTTTTGTCTGTGTTCCGGAGTCTCCTTGCAGAAGGCAGGGGCTACAACAGAACTTGAGAGTCTTCGGGTGCTGGGAACTCCTTCCTCTTGCCCATGAAGGGAGAACACCCACTGCGCGCCTCATGATTGAGGTCAAGTGCCATTGATGGCAGGGGTCCCTAGGGGAATATCCTTGACTCTTTTTTTTACCTTTTCTGGCTGACTTTCCATTCATGAATCTATCCATTTACTCATTTCACAGATACTGAGCACCTACTATGTGCTACTATGAGATGCTGGAGATCCAGAACCAAGTGGGGCTCTCAGCCTAAAGTCTCACTAGAGAGACTTGATAGACACGGGCAACAGGAGGGTAGTTGCTGGATTGGGTAAGGGCTGCAATGGGAACACAGAGAAGAGTTCTGACTACAACTTGAAGGCCAAAAGAAGCTTCCCCGAGGAAGATAAGTCCCAACTGAAATCTGAAGAGCGAGCCAGGCATAAAATCAGGGCAAAGAGTGTCTCCGATGAGGGGAACAGCAGCTGCAAAGTCTGGGAAGTCTCGGGGAGCACTGTCCCCTTTCAGCGGAATCAAAAGTGGTTTTTTTTAAAATTTTGCTATTTACTCTCATCTCAAGTAAAGAAAGAAATTTGAAATCTGAAGAAAGATAAACTTGTAGGTGGTAGGACTAGGATCTGAATGCGGCTGTATGGCCCTAGAGATGGCTTTTATAGCATACGGTGTCAACCTGGCCAATGGCGAGCTCAAAACCAAGATGGTTCCTGTGGAATGAGAATTTCTCTGAAATATGGGGCATAACTTCAAGTCTCAGCTAGACTGTCAATCACCAGCTGCTTCTGTCACCAGGTCATTAACCTCCGCTTCTCCCCCAGTGGAGTGTAAGCAATAAAGACACTTTCTCATGTCCCTCATTGAGTGTTTTGAATCAGGAGACTTAATGTTCACAGACCTGGCACAGCAGCACTCGGACAGGTGGCTTTGAAATGGTGACTCCCCCAGAGGCCACTAGCTTCGGTGCAAGGGAGGCTGAGAGAATATTGGAGGGAAAATAGCAAATGCCAGAACATTTCAAATTATGATTGCTTTCATATAAAATGATTAAAATGAACTCATTCATGTTTTCATAGTCTCGCATAGTATGAGAATTTTAAAAATATACTTCAAGTCTCATAGAATATGAGAATTTTAAAGAGCATACCTCAAACATAAATATACATTCCTCATCCCAGGATCAGTGGCGATTCCCAGTAACAGGGTTTCTAGTCAATTGCCGGCTGACCCAAAGCTGGTTTTAAAAGTGAAGCACGCATACAAACAGTGCGCATTTGTTTGGTAGCCCCATAGAGAATGCCTGTCCGACAGAAGGGTTTCTGGGAGTCATGAGCCTGTGACCCATAGACTGGCCACCAGTGATCGCGTCAGTTCAGCTTTGGCAGGCCCAATATCACTGCCTTAACAACAAGCCAAGTCTTCTTGCCATATTGTTTCAGGACATCTCAAAACACTCTATTATGCTGTTTAAACCAATTTTTGCTGTTCAAACTAATTTTTACCACTGGATCAAACTTGACCGGCACTCAAAAAAATTACACTTCCTTTCACTCAGACTAAAGCAAAAACGGCAGAGAAAGAAGATGGGTCCATGGATTTTGTAAATACAGGTGGTTGCCTAAAGTGACCTCAGTTTTTCCCATTAAGCAATTCTTGATTTCTGGACCAGAGAAATGATGGGCACATAGCCAGTGTTCTTTGCTGTACTTCTGGGACATGTAAAAGGACATCTGTAACTCAAGTGGAAGTGTGGATGCTGTATGTGCTTGAATGGCTTTTCTGGAGCTCATGAAACTAGTCATGAACTACAGCAGAAGACAAAGGCAACCCTGAACCTAAGCTATACACATGAGCTGGCCAACTGTGACAGTGTTGGGGCTCTGGAGCCATGTCCATTCATAATTCAGTCTTTGGGAAAAGTCAACTACCATTAGCAAGCTAGACCTTCTGGTTTAGACCTTAAGCTAGAAAAGTTACTTTCTATTTGATCTTTCAAAGTCCAGTCTTCTCTTTTACGCACTCTACCCTACCCAACTCCTGGGCATTCATTCTTCATTCTTCTCACAGAGTGATCTTTGCACTCAAACATCTAACCAATCACTCTGCTTACTTAATACTATAAAGGGCTCCCCACTGCCTGCAGAGCAGAGCCCAAACTCAATGCCCTTTTTCTCTCTGCCCATCCTTCCTTCTTGCCTTCCACCACTCCCACCTATCCCATTCCCACCACTAAATGTGAGCTCCCGTGCCCAATGATGACCCACACTGACTGATCTCTTGCTGCTTTCATAACATGTTAAAGCTATTCATTCATTCATTTATTCATTCTGCAAAATACATATTAAATACTGTGGACCTGGCACTATGAAAAATTGAAATCATTTTTATAATGATAATATACAAATATATATATCATCATGAATTAAAATAATGTATTTAATTCAGGAATATTACTTTGTTTACTCAGATCCATTTGATTATCAAATGTGTTAAACACCTAATATGTGATAGGTACTATATTAGACACCAGGATGCAATCAGCCACAGTCTCTGCCCTTAGGACCTCAGAGTCTAGTGTTGAAGATGGGTAAGTAAGTAAGTTACAAATGTGCTAGGGATGTGCATGCCCTGGGCACTATGGGAGGAGCTCTGGAAAGAAGATGACACTTGGGATAAATGTTGGGCCTGGGGTTGAGTGAAGACTGTTGGGAGACAGAAGAAACAGTGAGACAGAGGGAGCAGCATATGTGATAGCATGGGAGTCGATGGTGGCAGGACGACGTGGAATGGCATGAGGTGAGGGAAGTAGGTGGGGTAGGTGACGAAGTGAATGTGAGTGAGTGAGTAAAAAGGAGTCTAAGATGACTCTCAGGTTTCTGGCTTGCAGCTATGTGGGGGCGACACCATTTACTGAGACAGTGAACAGAGGAGTAGAAGGGGACCTGAGGAGGCAGGTGGAAGAAAATAACTCTATTTTGGATATTTTGAGTTTGAAATGACTGGGAGTCGTTCAGATGGTGATACTCAGATCAAGAACTATAGGTCTGGGGCTTGGAAGTGAGGCCTCAGCTGGGGACATGGATTTGTGTTCATCATAAAATTAATAGTTGGAGCCTCAGGAGTGTGTGAGGCAATACAGGGAGCATTCATTTATTGAAATATTCATTGAGCACCTGCTATGTGGGAGGCACTGTTCTAGACCTTAGGAACACATCAAGGTACGAAACAAATAAGATTCCTGCTCTTCTGGTGCTTGAGGAAAGAGGATTGGGAGCACATTTTTGGGTGGCAGGGGAAGATTATAATTTTAATGCAGCGAGCACATGATTTTGGGCAAAGTCTTGAGTAGAGGTGAAAAGTAAGTCCTGAGAGATATGTAAAGAAACAGTGTTCCATGAAGAAGGAACAGTCAGTGCAAAAGGCCCTGAAGCAGGTACATGACGGGTACATTGGAGCAAAGAGAAGAGGCCAGTGTGACTGAAACAGGGCAAGTGAAGGAAGGAGTAAAAGGACACGAAATCAGAGAGGTAATGGGAAGGTGGACAGGTCATGGGGAGCAAGGGAGGGTTTTGTGCAGACAGAGTGACATGATATGAGTCATGTTCATAAAGGATAATAGACTATATGGGGGCAGGGATAGAGAGCAGTGTCCTGGAAAATAGTGGATGTTTAAAGGATGAACAGAAGAAGAGGTTGTTCAGGACAATGGGAATATACAGCTGAAAGGTCATATCCAGGTGAACTTAAGGATATTAAGATCTTAAGACACTCCAGGACATGCTGACTAGTTGTGAAAGAATGGCCAGCGAGGCAAGAGGAGACCAGGGAAGAACCCTGTCATGAAGCCAGGAGAAGACAGCTGTGTAGGAAGAGACCCATGAATGAGCCATGGGTCACTGAGAGGTCAGGGAGGATAGGGCTTGGGGAGCATTTTGGGATTTGGCAGTGCAGAGAGCTCCGTGACGGCTGCTACACCAATGAGTAGGAGAATGTGGGAGCCAGAACTCAGTGGCCCACTGAGTGAACGGCAGATGAAGGAGTCACAAGAGAGCAGACTCTTTTAAGACATACAGCAGAGAAAGAAGAAGTAGGGTTGGAACTTCACCAAGGCCTGGTATTGAGGGGATGTTCATTTTACTGCTGATAGCAGAGGTTTTCTTTCTTGGAGACAAATGAAAGAGAACTTTTGTGCTCGTTAAATAGACTGGAAATGGGAAAAGGAACATGCAGATGTCCACGTCGCAGGAGTTCTGAGTCCGCACTTTGTAAGGGCACAATAAATAGGCTTATAGCCTGTGGTTGGGAAGTGGGGAGAATTATAGGACAATCTCTAACTGTACCTCAGGGATTCTAAAGTAGTAGAGTAAAACCCTAAGCTGAGTAAGTAAATTTGGATCTATCATCATTGGTGATTAGTTCTTGTTCCCCACCATCTTCATCCTCAGA